ATGAATTGTGCATTTATATGCACAGGAGAGAGACTTGTGATGGCACACACACACTGCAGCTACTTGCCTTCACACCCTTCCCTTGCCTTCTCTAATATCTAATCGTTGTATGTTATGGCAGGGGGCCCTAGGAATCATTGACAGGCATTTGATGGATAAGAAAAACCTTTACAACACAACAAAAACTCTCACTTGGTGCGTCTGAGTAATTTAAAAAACTGTTTCAGGTTGTGGAATTCTACAAATGGAAAAATAATAGTCTTGTTCTTCCCCCACAAATGTGCGTGCACAGCTCGACCTATAACGTTTGGTAATTGGATTAAATGTTAGTTCCCTTTTGTACCCAGACTGTGCAAGCAGCTTGTAAATTATGGAGTAAAAATGTGGGGCCTGTAAATACCTAGTAATAAGCAATGCTCATGCATCCTGGACTATAGCAATAAAAGTGGTGCTGATTTAATGAGTCATCAGCATTCCTGAGCTCACAACAAGATGTTTAGGGCCAGACCTGAGTTTTCTTGCTTTTGAGCTATGAACAAGTCTTCCTCTCCCAGGTAGCAGCTGGGTTTGTTGAAGTGAGTGCCAACGGTGGTTTTATATCTCAATAAAATGATGGTAGCAGGTTATAGATAACAACTTTCACCCTGCAGAATTCCTAGTTGTTTTTCTAAACCTCATAATTCTTAATCCTGCGAATACAACTATATTGGCAGAAAAGTAGGTTGTGCGATGGTAAGGAGGAAAGGAAATTTAAGTTAAGGGAACGCAGAAGTGCTGTGAGTTCCCTACGATCCACAAGGATGTCTGTGAAATCTTGCGTGAGAATGGCTAGGCTTGTGGTGTTAGGAATTAAAAGAGCTTTTCCCTTTTGTGGCACTCATCCAGAGTGTTTTTGTTCTGGCCTGCAATTCCCACATCAGAAGTAAAGCTAATTGCATCCCATCTCTTTGCAGAATGAGCTCTCTAGAGTGGAGGAGGTCTCTTCCAAGACCACATCTATACTGCAGAGTTGTACTGGCATGACCGCATGGGAGCTGGGGTTATGAAAAATTAATCCTTCCTCATTTAAATCATGTTGTTAAAACTTCTTTCTAGCAAGGATACTAACTTACTGTCCTTCCATCCTGTTTCCGCTCTGAAAATGAATGTTCATTTACAAACACAGAAGGCAAATCATTGGCATTCTTTCAAATCAAAATATAATCACATCTTCCCGATTTCAAAGCCCATCCCTCTTGGCAAATCTTATTAATTATCCCACACAGGTGCTTTTCAACAAAAGGTCCTTCTTGCATTCTCTCTTCTTTTCCAGCCTCCTACTTGAGCTAATGAAGCTTCAGTGATGCCTCTGGAACAATGGAGCAATTTCTATAACTACAGGTTGGAGCGAACAAATAAGGGATGGTAATTGAGGCAGGGTGCTGAAAAGAGGCAGTGGGAGCAAAGTTCCTGTCTGTGTAAAGAGATCTCTCATTACTGGTGATTAGGGAGGAAGCTTTACAGAGCCAAAAAGAAAGTAGCTGTGCTGAAAAATGTTCTTTGATCGTTTATTGATATGCAGGCGCTGCTCTATGAGAGGACCGCAGACCTCGCTATGGTGGCCTTTACATCCTCTAGTTAACAGAGTGTAGGTTTGTGGTAAGAGAAAGGAACTGGCATTGCCTCCGTGCTGGTCTTGCTTGAACTCAGCCTGTTTCTTTAAAAAGCTCCCGGGTTCGATTTACAGCTGCAGGAACATTGTTTACCAACACTCCAGGCATCAAGTGGATGCTTCTCTCTGGACGTCGCTGGGTTTCTTTTCTGTGTGGAAGCACATAGGCTTCCACAAGTATTTGATGCATATTCATAATAACAGCAAGTGGTCTTTCATGGTTTCCAAAAACAGGTCCTGCCTGCTCATTTCATGTCTAGACAATAGGAATGAGACTTTTTTTTTAGCAGGTGTGGTAGCAAAAATATATATAGGTGTCTTGCTAGGCTAGTTGACAAGAAGCTCTGCCTTGTCCAATGGTAATGTGTTTTCCCAGTTCGTATTTGGTTATGCCTAGAAGCTCCCTGGTCCCTGCCTCTTCCAAATGCATACAGACATTTATATTCTGAACACTAAAAATCAGCAGAATTCAAATACTCTTTTAAGCATATTTGAATTAGTCATCAGCTACTCGTAAACTTCTGCTTATAAAGTTTTCAGGGTGAAAACCAGGCTCAGGTGTGACCTCACGTCCAGGCATAATCTGTTATTTTTCTTTTTTATTTGGCAAAGCAAGAGCTCTTATTTCAGGAAGGAATATAAGCATCTTCACTGCAAAATCCACCAATGAATAAAATTACTTTCAGATAAATTTAGGTAACTTTTGCCCATGCGGAGGTCAGAGACCATAAAAATGCTGTGCAAAAGGCTCACTGTGAAATCTGTCCATTTCTTCACTCTTCAGGAGAGGACTTTAAGACCCAAAGCACATTCTGAAAGCTAAGAGAAGTGCCATTATTTAAAGTACACAGAATTATGTTGACGTCAGTAGTGTGGTACTTGCCCAGATGGCACATGCACTTCAGTGCAGATACATCGTAGTCTTACGAATCACTGAAAGCAAAACCAATCTCCACCAAATTCCCTGTGAGTATTGAGAACTTCATGCGTCCCTTAAAACTGGGTATTTTGCTTACAGCTTTAGCTCTTTGACTGTGAACATGTGAAAGGAAGGAATTCCTGGGCCAAGTGCTTGCAAAGGCACCTTGAAATTTAAAGCTGGTCTTGTCACTTTTGAACAAAATTACTACCAATGGATGGAGGGAAAAACCTGCTGGTAACACAGCAGGTAGCTTTTCTTTTTATCAGGCTGAATGATCGAGTAGCCTCACATCTCTCCATGAACAAATGAAGAGAACCACAGCTGGAAACGGGTACCTTGTTCACATTATGACTTTGGCTTTTTTTTTTTAGGCAGGCCAGCAGGTTTTGTAAGTGGTGGGAAGAGTTAGTGGTAATGTAACCTTTTCAGATCCAAGTTGCATGTGCCATGCTCTGGAAAATTAAGCAGAGTTGGAGAGAATTGAGTGGTGTGCTCTCACCACGCCTTTAGTGTGCTCTGAGGAGCCTGCTAATCAGAGGCAAGAGAAATTCAGCTGCTTCAGGAGCTGTTTTTTTACAAAATGTATAGGGTTTAACTGTCTCCTCAGACGAATCTGTAGATGTTTTGTTTTCAGTTGGAATTTATAATTTCCAGCAACACTCTGTTTACCATAAAATATTTGTCAAGCTTTGTACAAAAATACTTTATTGGGGTTTTCAGAAAGTAGCAGACACAAGGAAGGGTACAAGCAGGCTCAACAGTACATACTGTCAGTTCTTAGTACACTTACTTCAAAGGATATATTTTAACCGATATATAACGGTCTGATTGAACGTGTCACAAGACTGAAATATCCTACACACAAAAACAAGACATCATTTAAAACCAGACTTCAGATGGCAATACTGATCTACTCAACACCTGGCACTGGAACAAAGTTGGACAGCGTTTTCTTTTATTCCTAGCAGCAGCCAAGAGGCAGTTTGCTTACAACAGCTGAGTGTAACTGGCAATCACAACATCGTAAGCTTTTGGGTACTACTTTACAGCGTTTGGGTTTCTATTTGTAAATGGAGTTTTCAGACTTATGATCTTGACCTTCCCTGTACAATACTGTTTAAATATGAGTGTTTGCCATGGCAAATAATTACATATTGATATTACTGTATCACTGAGCAGTGCCAACAGCGATGGGGAACTGAAATCTCTTGCTTTATGGTCATATTACCTCTGTGCCCAAAGAGGTTACAGAATAAATGGGCAAGTATGGTGAAACACGAGATGGCGAGCAGAGATAAAATGCCCAAAATCTCACGTTAAGATTGAGGATAGAGCCCTGGTCTCTTGAATCTGATGCTCTATCTGTGGAATTAGTTGACTGCTTAATAAATAAATAAATCAATGCTTATGGTGCCTGGAACAGCTTAACCCAGGTCTCTGTTCAAACTACATATTTTAAAAGGAAGCATGCAAGAGTTCTGGAACTTGCTAAAATTAGGAGGTCTGAAACTAACTTTAAAAATAAAGGAGCACAAGCTTCACTTCTCCCAGTGCTTGTCATTCTCTAGCACATTGCCAAAAGAATATTTTTAAGATCTTGCAGAAGAGATTTTCAAATGTCTTTGGGTCATCACGAAGGAGACGGTGGAGAAGCTGAGACCCTGCTGGCACCTGTCACGCAGGCACAGCAGCCCTTTCTTTGGGTCTGCCAGGAGCATCGGTTGGTGTGTGGCTGGACGCAAAGGAAACCAGATCAGTGTGGAAGCAAGAATCAGGGAATGCCAACAGGGTCCTTTGGGATGCTCAGCACCTCCGAGTCTGGCAGTAAACTCCTTAGGGCAGAGATTTGTCCCTTCCTGGGGAGTGGAAGGGACATCTATTTCACAACACTCAACAGGGATCGAGATCATGGCTGTAGCTGCTGTAGCAACAATGGTAAATGAGGTGCTTTCCTTCCGAGCTCTGTTCTTTTCCTTCTGTATCATCCCATACGTGTAGTATCTTACGTGTAAGGAAAAAAACACTCACATTGATGGGAAAAATCAGGTCTGCAAACAGGTAAACTGTAGTTTAGTCCAGTAGTTTTAGGTTAGATATTGATTTTTGTTAGCTTTTCTTTTTCAGACTTTGTTTTTATTTTTGCAAAGGGCTGGTGCCGCTCTGGGTGCCTAGGTGGCAGCAGAGCCCTTTGGTGGCACCTGCAGGCAGAGGACACAGATTTCACTGCCTATGGTTAAGGTTAAAAATACCCTTACCCTTCTATTCTGAGTGATTTTGTTGTTGACGGACTAGAATAAATGAACAGTGGTCTCACTGCTGCCTTCCTCGCGTGTCCCAGACTCTTCCAAGGAAGCAACTGCTACAGTAATTTTCCATAACACGAGTGTATTAAAGGAAGGTTCTTCTCATCTGCACACAGGGCTGCCTTCACTTCCAGCAGTTCTGAAGGGGATCGTGAGGTTGAACCTTCAGCTTCTTGGGACAGAGGAGTTTAATAAAAGCTCTTCTGAAGCTGTAGTGGCAGAGCGGGTAGAGGACAGGGTTGACAGCTGAGTTGATCCACAGCAGCCAGAAGGATGTCTCGTACCAGTAGTCAGAGATGCAGCGGCCATGGCAGGCAGCGCGGATGATCATCAGGAGAGTGTACGGTGCCCAGCAAAACCCAAAAATGCCCACGAGGATTGCCAGTGATTTAGCCACCTTCTTGTCTCTAGAGAGCCTGAAGCGTTGAGTCATGCTCTGGGACACGATCTTCATCCCTTTCTCTAAGGACAGAGCAGATGCTGAATTTTTACAGGTCTTCTTGTTGCAACACTTGGGTTTCCCAGAGCTATTGGAGCTCGCTGACAGCAGGTCTTTGGCACCCAGGCTGGCAGTGGAGGCTGCTTCTTGAGCTTTGCTCTTAGAGAGGTCGAGGGTTTCAGCTGGCTCCTTCTGCTCCCACTTACAGCATTTCAAAGAAAGCTTTGCTTCTGGGCTCATTTCCATCTCTTCAGTGAAGGACTGGTTGTGCACTTCATGGAAAATATCCAGGCGTATTTTGGTCCGCTTCTGTATGTTCAGGTAAATGCTCAGGTTGAAAAACATTACACTGATGAAAGGGGTGAAAAACTCCAGCGTAGAGGCTGTCATGAGAAAATACCAGTTGTAGAAAAATTCAGCGTAGCATTCCCCAGTGGGTATGATACTCTGGCCCGATATATACTCCCAGCTGATAATGGCAGGTCCGTAAAGCAGGAACGCTAGTACCCACACCATCACCATCTTCAGCACCGCTCGCTTGGTGTTGCCTTGCTGGGCTCTGTAGGCGACCTGCAATGGGGAAACCTTAAGTATGGCAACACACCCCAGCTGGTTGAGGCTCTTCACAAATGAACTGTCAGTGTTCCCGGCAAAGTTGCTAGGCGATATCCCAGCAGTCTAACCGATTCATATGCCATAGGCAACAAGAGCAATTGCTAGATAAATCACACTCCTGCAGGGAAGACATAGAACCCTCATCTTGCAGCTCCAAAACCAGATGTGGCTTCTGCTTAGTGGAAATGTACCGACTTGGTTGGAGCCTGGCAGTCTGTCACACCCCACCACTTGACAGATTTGTCCCCAGCTACTCTCTGTCACTCCTGGGGAGAGGCATGCCTTAAACTCCTGGGCTAGGCAGGCATCTGGCTCTGGCTTTCCCTGGACCTCGTACCTAATCCATGTTTTATTTGGAGTCAGGGAACAAGCAGATAGCAATGGATCTGATTTGCCTGCAAACTGCTCATTACCTCTTGCGAAAGGCTGAGCGTTTTCATCTCACCATGTACCCTGAGACCACAGGGCAGTGCCCTGCTGAAGTTGGTGCTGCAATCTACTGCCTCGGTAGCCAGGGAGAAGCGGGGAGCCCGACTGCAATCTGCTTGTTTGTCCTGGAGATAATAAGCTCCTGCAAGTTGGTAATAGGGCTGCTTTTACCTCACCGGCTGAGTTGTACACCACTGTCCTGTCATCTGGGAAGGGAACACCTGCACAATGGGGTCTGAACCTGAAATTATTTAATTATGCCAGAAACACTAATCTGAAACCACAGCTGAATTATGTATTTGTGGATAATTATTGCTTTCCATCACCAGGCTGAAAGATTCATAATTTCGGAAGGATTCAAAGAGCTTTTTAATTACTGCAGAGAATCTGGAGAATAAAACAGGAGAAGTTATTTCCCTCTCAGCTGCAATGCCAGAACTCACCGCTCTTGTCACCGAGAGGAATCTGTCATAGCTAATCAGGACGATGTTGAAGACCGAAGAGGTGCAGAGCAGGTAATCAACTACCAGCCAGAGTTTACAGAGGCTCCTCCCGAAGATCCATCTCCCCGTCAGCACATAGGGCACGTACAGGGGGATGCAGAAGGCACCTGCAACGGGGGCTCTGGTGGCACCGGGGTGCGGGCGGCTGCACGGGGGCTGCTCCC